GAAAATAGAGGTCGTATAAAAAATTTTTTCAAGCAAAAGTTATTTGCGTTTTTACGTTGAATAAAATGCCGTAATAAAAAATATGTATTTCTATTTAAAAAAGCAAAGTTGACCTTGTTCTGACCTTGGCGACGCCATCCTATGTCAAATAACTACTATTGTTGAATGTGTTTTTTTAAGCTTTACAACTTTTGTCTGAAACATTTTTCTCTCCCGTGCTTGGTTTTCGACATATTCGACTCGATGGATTAAAATGGTCCACCCTGTATATACAGGATGTCTCAGACCTCCATGATGACCCTTTGTGAGAACGTTGAACGTATTGTGGTGAGCAAGAAAATCCTGTGCCGTTTTGCGATATTCGCAATAATAATCGAAATATTAATTAAAAAGATTGGTCAATGATCACGCGCAATATGGTAGATGAGCTACAGTGGCGCCGTCTACTTATACATGGCGTTGTATACTTATACATTAAGTCTACTTATACAGTGGCGTTGTATACTTATACATTAAGTCAAACTGAACAAAAAGTCCTTTACCATTTCGTAAATGACCACATAGATTTTTAGATATTAATTAAGGGGTAAAGCCACTGTAGAGCCTCTCAAAAAAGGCCTATTTTTAATAATTTTTTTACGGGAAAACAAAAACAGTAAAGAAAAATCCTTTTGAAGTACTTTATCCTACATACTTTGAAATATACAAAAAAAATTTTTGAATTGTTTTATTACTTTATTTCTTAAAATGGCGGTGACAGAGCTCAGCAACGATGACCACTCGTTTCGGAAGATGCCTCACGGCCGGACAGAAATCTGCTCCAATTTTTGCTCTAAAACAAAAAACCAATTTTTTTTAATTCTTTATGTCATTAGCTAGCGAACTACGTACGAAATTAAAAAATAATTTTTTTTGTAAAAATGACACAAATTTGAAAAAAAAAATTCATTTTTGACGAAAAACTTTGCAGAAAATTGTTTATATAAAAAGGTTTACAACGAAACGTAAAATCCGTACGTAGTTCGCTGACAAACGTATTTTAGAAGCTACAGTCAAAATTTCAAGAAAATCGGTCAAGATTTGTGGGAGTTATGAGTCCGGCCAGCTTAAAAAAAAGTGATTTCGAGAAAAACGCGTTTAAAATTTTATGTAACAATCAGCGATAGAAATTTTTCATTTACCTTTAATCTGCGACTTTTACCTGCACCATACAATTGGCTTTCCTCATTGATGTTCTCCTCCTCCTGATCCTTCTTGGCCGATTTTAGCGATGATCGAGCCTCTTTTGCAGCATCTGCCAGTAAGCGCTCCGAATACTTGATGCGCCGCGCGTCAGTCTCGAAGCAGTAATTGTAACAGTTCGATCCAATTGTCATGCTTAATTCTTCCATAATCTTCATAAGGTTTGAATATCTTTCATTGTACGTGTAAACAGCAATATTACTTGCTGTATCAATAATAACTTTGCCACTGGAAACTGATTTTGGAGCCATTGACCAAATCAAAGCGTTGTAACTTTCATTACTGTTTTGGGTGTAGCCACCTAAACAATGTTTAAGAAGATCGTCACTATTTAATTCTTCATAGATTGGCTTAATAGCATCAAAAACCATTTAAGGAAAAGTTGGCTTATGCTTAAATTCAGCTAATTTATTAGTGGCTTTCGCCTGCTGCCACTTGCACCACGAATATTTACCGTGCTGTGGCTTTTCGTCTGTGGATAACTTATGATAAAGGGTCGCCCAGATCTCTCACCTCATATTTTCAATTGAATCATGATTACGATGGATAGCTAATCCGAAAAAAACAGACAATTCATTTATAAGTTTAGCAGTTAATTTGCCTTTTCCTCCAAGTCCTTTCATGGTTTTCTTCAAGTTGCGAAGGCGGGTACCATTCGTTTTTGGACGTGATCAATACATTCCTTTTTCTTCACTGATAAATTTTCTGTTTGTTGTGATTCCAAAAGACCTTTAAAAGTTTTAGAATCTCCATCTTCAATGTAATTTGCGTATTTCACCTGATGCAATTGTTTTGAGCGTTGGAACATTTCAATGACTACATCGACTTCCATTTTGCCGGTCGAACCCTCATGATTCGCTTGACATTCGTTAGCGTGTGATGTTTTCCATTCTTCAGTGTCAACTTTTTTCTCCCAAAACTCACAAGCTTGCAATACTTAGACTTCACAACAATGTTAATTACTTTTCCAGAGAACCATCCAATTAATGTTACCAATCCGAACAGTGATGAAAAGTCATGTTTTCTCCACGATTCATCGCCTGACACTGTTAAACCATCTGTTTGACCTTTTTCTATAGACAAAGCCTTTTCTTCTTGAGCTGCCATTAGCATACTTTTTTTAGCAACTGTTTCAGTTGCGCGTAAAATTGTATGCATGAGTCTATCGTAAAATGAATGAAAAATCGGTCGAGGAAGAACCATGAAGGCGCAAAAATTTTCTATTCCATAAAGACCAACACCCAATAATCGCATAGCAAAAATCATTCTACGATTTATTTTATATGAATTATCAATAAAAGGACAATTCGGAATGAAAATGTCGCCGCAGTTCACTAGGAACCTAAGAAAATCTTACCCAAGCTTAACTGTGTGTAACTAATCCCTTTATTATTTTCAGAAGGATTCCTTCCTAAACGCTTCACATTTTACCGAAAGGTACGACGCTTCAAACTTCCAAAAATGACACTTAGGAATTTTTCTTTGTTAGAAACCTTTTGTACCTTATTTTTAAGACTTTAAAGCATCATTTAAGCAAAAAAAAAAACGATTTTTTTTTAATTCTACAGTGGCCTTACCCCTTAAAAAAATTTGTGCATTATGGTATATAATCGGGAGCGGTGCACTCTTGGACACGGTGCATTTGGACACTGCCAATCACAGCACCGTGTGATTAGAGACATTTGTAGGGTCCCTTGGAACAGCGACTTGTGATTGGACTGTGTCCAATTGCCCCGTGTCCAACTGATATACACCCATATAATCATATATGTAACAATTTTCTTTAATATTTAAAAATCTATGTGGTCATTTGCAAAATGGTAGAAGACTTTTTTGTTCAGCTTGACTTAATGTATAAGTATACAACGGCAGACGGCGCCACTGCAGCTCATCTACCATATCGCGCGTGATTATTCACCAATCTTTTTTAATTAATATCTCGACTATTATTATGAATATCGCAAAACGGCACAGGACTTTCTTGCTCACCTTAATCCGTTCTACCCAGGTAATAATTCGTGCGAGCTCATATCGTCCTCACGCGTGCGTCTCACACAGTGTCCGCATAGTATTCTCACGCTGTCCCACACGACGTGATGGGGACACGCGTGCGAGCGCAATGAATCGCATTGTACAATCACGCCGTGAACTCATTGAGTTAATGTGTGCTAAACTGCATGCACGTGCTTATTATTGTTAGTGCAAAACCAAAAATATATGTATTAATTTATATGTATTAATTTCATATAAGGTTTGTTTTGCGTCGCACACCCCACGTGCTCCTACTTGCTCCAACGCACTCTGATTGGTTCACGTCACCACGCGGACTAATCAGAGTGCGTTGAAGCGAGTAGCAGCACGTTAGGGAATGCGACGCGAACAAACCTATAATCAATTTCAATAATAAATAATAATATTTTTACATTTTTATATTTAAAATTGTATTGTAGATATAAAATCACTAGACGGATTTGCCTTCATATGAGATTCATATTGCTCGCGCGCGTGCGACTTCACCCGGGCGGGTTATATCAGTCTCATTTGCGGATCAGAGATCCCAAAGCATAGAACGTTGAAAAAACGTTGATGAGACGTTGCAACGTTAAAGATAGAAGTGCAGGTGTTTTTTCTCCATAGAATATATGTTGATTTTTCTACATTGATTACAGGATATTGCTGCAATGTTGAATATATATTGAACAAAAGTACAATTTTTTGCAACAATATTTGAGGAGCATTGAAAATTATATTATTAATAATATTAAGGAAAAATTTTTTATTATATAATAATATCAGGTGTATATCTATAAAATGCGGATTTTTTAAAGGAAAAACACATGTTAATTTGAAGTGAATGGTTAAAGCTATTTGGCTATATATATGGGGTGTATATCAGTTGGACACGGGGCAATTGGATACAGTCCAATCACAAGTCGCTGTTCCAAGGGACCCTACAAATGTCTCTAATCATACGGTGCTGTGATTGGCTGTGTCCAAATGCACCGTGTCCAAGTGCACTGCTCCCATATATATGCCATTCGACGCTACAACTTTTTCCCATCTTTCTGGCAAAAGATGGATTCCGCGACGATAGAAACTTTCATCTTTCGAAGCAAACCATGAATCGATCCATTTTTTCACTTCTTCGAAATTAGCGAAGTGCTGCTCAGCCAATCCGTCCGCCATCGACCAGAACTAGTGATAATCCGAATAAGTGATAGTTGCTCCGAAGGAGCAATATCCGGCAAATACGGCGGATAGGTAGCACATCCCAATTCAATTCTTTTACAGTTTTCTTGACAACTTTTGTGGTGGGGGCCGGCGCATTGTCATGTAACAAAATCACTTTTCCATGTCCTTGGGCCCATTCCGGAAGTTTTGTGATAAATGCATGGTTCAAATTGATCATTTGTTGTCGGTAGCGAGCAGCATTAACCGTTTTACCAGATTTGAGAAGTTCATAATAAACAATACCCTTTTGATCCCACCAAACACAGAGCATTATCTTCTTTCCGAAGCGATTTGGTCTTGCAGTCGATGTTGATGGTTGGCCTAGATCAACCCATGATTTTCTTCGTTTGGGATTCTCGAAATATATCCATTTTTTATCATCTGTGACGATTCGATACAGAAAACTCTTCCACTGATGTCTTTTCAGCAGGAGTTCGTTGGTGACTTTTCGATTCTCCATCTGTCTTTCAGTCAAATCGTGTAGTACCCATTTTCCTTCTTTTTGAATCTTTTCCATTGCGTGCAAACGCTCGTTAACACGTTTTTGAGTCACATTTAATACTTCCGCCAATTGTGATTGAGTTTGAGTGGAGTCTTCGTCCAACAATGCTTGCAACACTGCATCTTCAAATTTTTTCGGTGGTTTTCTCTTAGCCTTGTTTTTCACATCAAAATCACCAGTTTTGAATCGATTGCACCAACGTTCACAGGTATCTTGAGATGGTGCATGTTCGTTGTAAGCTTCTACAAATATTCGATAAGTTTGAGCAGCAGTTTTCTTTAAAATGAAGTAATGAATCAAAACCTACCGCAAATGGTCTTTTTGGTACGAAATTCGACATTTTCAAAGCAGAAAAAGACTATGATATTTACACTCTCACAATTTTCTACATGTATGGTTTTGTAGGTTAGGAATAACTAAACAAAATACTATATATATCAAATCACCACACGTAAGAACGAACGTATGTGTGGCACCATCTGTTAGGAAAATCCGCATTTCATAAGTATACACCTGGTATTAATAAAATAAATTATTATAAAATTTTATTATGTTAATATATATGTATTATATATATTATATTATGTATATTATATCATAATTATATACATTTTTCTTATTATTTATATATAAAATTGAAATGTGTTTAACCAATTTTGCGCAAACCCTGAATATTCTTTTATTTCATAATATTCTCTATTATATAGAGTCTGACGCAAGCTGTATCGATAACAAAAAATATATAAAAAACGTTAAACTGGAAGGAATAGTCGAAGTCATTTTGCAAATAACTACATAAACTTTAGAGATATTAAATAAAATAGATAGGCGAATTAACGCGTGTATTTGCTATCCAGATAGCATAGAGATGAACAGAAGTTCCTAGAAAATTCATTTTAAAGAATAGATATAGAATTAGAAAAATGAATACCCGAAGAATTCTTGAAGAATTAACCATAGTAAGTTCGTCTTGAAATATTCCTTAGAACTTCATTATAGCGAATACTTCGCAATTTAATTCCTAGAACACTTTGAGAATTCATGAGGAATTAGGGCTAAGGCAGAGAACGAGACGTAAGCATCGTAATCGTAGACGTAAAGTAAGGCAGCGAAAAATGTAAGCGTAAGGCTAATAGCCTTTCATGATTTACGTTTACGTTTTTCTCTGCTTTATTTTACGTCTACGACTATGACTCTTATGTCTCATTCATCTGCCTTAGCTCTTACAAATGTTTTATTTATAGCAATTACTTTTTGCGCCTATATTCAGTACATACCAGTGAGTGTATAATAATTAATTTACATATTTACATATAAAATGTTTAATTTATTGTTATTCACAGTAATTTATATTTTGTGGAATTAATTATATAGTTTTATATAATAGGGCAAAGAGAGGGAATTGGTGTTAAAATAACTTTTGATATATAAAGTTTTCACTTGTATCAATAATAAATATATTTATGCAAAATATATTTTATCCTTAAGTTTGTATTCATGTTTCTAAAATCCATATATAGTTCTAACAAACTCAATCGCATTATTTAAAAGCCATTTATTTTTAGATTTTGAGTTACATATTTGAAAGTGCGCTTTACTTACATTTGAAGCTCAGTTAGAACAGTATATATAACAGTATAACAGTTATAACAGTTATAACAGTTTTAACAGTATAGTATCCAGCGAAAAATGATTCGTTGATTGACGTCAAAATAACATCAAATAGACGTCGAAATCGTCAAACCGACGTCAATTTGATATCATTTGGACGTCAATCAACGAATCATTTTTCACTAGGTATATAGATGTCACAAACATGAAATCTTAAATAGCTCAGTGGAAAGAGCGATTGTTTGGCAAGTGGAAGACCCGAGTTCGATCCCAGCCGAGTCTGATGTTTTTCATCTCATATGGCATTAAAAGTGGACATCTACATATACACACAAGAGCAGCAGCACCCCCGGCCAAAGTTTTCTGATTTTTCTTTCATGTGGATACAATAAAATTTATTAAATCCGAAGAAATCTTTTTGAGTTGAAGTAATTCTATATGAATACTCTAAGAAGTTCTGAGGAACTCCAATCATGGTGCATGTAACTTCCTAAATCATTCTTATATAGTATTCTTCCACGAATTCCTAAGGAAGTACAATTCAGAAAAGGAGAAAACTTTAGGAACACTTAAAGAATTCATCGTGCTATTTGGATAGGTACGTTATAATATACTGTGAAGACTGTAAGTATACATTTTATAAGCATAAATTGTAAGAACATTGTCGTTGGAGTCATTAGGTGCTTTCCAATTGCTTAACACATCTTGACGCACACGTAAACAAAACCAGTTTATTGGTCACATATTATCTAAAATATCTTGTAAGATAATATGCAACCAATAAACTGGTTTTGTGTAACATAGTGTACGCAACTGGAAAGCACCCATTGGAATCACCGCGTGCCGCTCGATCATCAGATTAAGCAATGCAGTCAGGATAGATGGGATGACCGACATACCGGATTCGAAATTATCGAGAAAGAATTCGCGAAAGTTTTAGAGTGTGTTTGACAATTTTCGGTTTCTAGCAGTTATAAGACATGAGAAAATTAGGAATTAGTTTTTTATTATGAAACAATAAGAATAAATAAGGCCTTGAAATGTCAAGGAAAAATCAATAATCGCAGACATTTTTACATTATATCAAAGTTTGTGCAACATTAATTCAATGTTTCTCAATGTTACTGCAATATTCACATTGTTGCAATTCAACATTCTTTCAACATTGATTCAACATTACTGTGCTGTATGGGAATATTGCCTTAATGTTGA